CGGGGACGCCGCCCTGGCCGGGGCCTGCCCGCCGGCGGAGCTCTGCGCGGGGCCGGGGCGCCGCCGAGAGTGGTTAAGTTTTGCTTCTCGACTCTGGTTTGCGGTCTCACATCAGGCAAGTTATTTTCTGTAAAGTTTAAACGATTTTTCTTTTACTGTGGGGAAAAAAAAAGTAGATGGACTTTCTTAGCGATCGTTACGGAGCAGCTTTGTCATCCCAGAGTTGAAAATGCACCCCAAGGTATTCTGTTGAAATTGGGAATGAAAGATTCTCGTCTACACGTAGTTTATCTAAGTAGGGACCACGAACTTGGTTTAGGGTTTTTCTTCCTTTGAGGCAAGTTCTTGTTCAGTCTAACCTGGCTGTCCTTGAATTTGTAATCCTCCTGCCTCGGCCTGAGGGGTACTGGGATTATAGGTGTGGTCCACAAGCCAGTTTTGGTTTAAATTTCCTTTTTGTTGTTTTGTTTTTGAGCCTCCTATGTCGCACAGGCTGGCCTTGAACCCCTTATGACGCTCAGGCTGCACCTTTCAACTCTAGGCAATCCTCCTGCCTCAGCCTCCCTAGGGCTGAGATTACAGGCGAGTGCCACTACACGAGGTTTAAATTTCTTACTACTGCTTTTGACATTGCCACTTTCAGGCACAGACTTTGAATTTAAGGAATCTAAAGACCCCTTCATCTCGTTGCCTTCTAAGTATTTTTTCAACAAAACATCGAGCGCATGTGAATACGAATGACAGACAAGAGTGGCATTGTTTTTTATAGCTGCAAATCTTTTGGATGCCTGGTTTAATAGAGGACCGATCCTTAAATCTACTGCATCGCACCGTGTAACCTCTGAAAAGCCTCCACGGGTATCCTCATACTTTTTTTAAAAAATGCACAACTTTGTCATCTGCTTTCACCATGTAGGTCAAGTCGGGGCATTGCACAAGACTTTAAAAGTACAGATAAGGATGATTACTATACATTTTCTTTGAGCTCTTTAAAAAACAAAAATTGGGATTTAGGCCAGGTGTGGTGGTGCATGCCTGTTGTGGCAGCCCTCCTGGGGACCCGAGGCAGTTGATCCTAAGTTCCAGCCCAACCCGGGCTGTTTAGCAACTCGATGCAACCTTGCCTCAAAAAAGTTTTTATAAGAAGGGCTCGGGGGCATAGCTCAGTGTGAAGGCCCTTTGTTCAGTTTCCAGTACTGAAAAAAGAACTGGGATTTAGATGCATAAACAGTAGGTTACATAGATAAAGATTACATAATCTGTGATTGTGGAGACTCAGGAATGTTTAGAGACATTCTAAGTGATTCAACTTATCTTTCAGTTTCAATGCATGTCTGTAATGATGTACACAAAACTTGAGTTCCGTGGTAGGTGTGCTTGTGAAAAATTGTGTGTAAATGGAATCAAAGCACTATGAGAACTGTGAAAAGTCCTTCAACGAAGCCTGTGGTGAAATGGTAGTTTGATGCACACCGTTTGACACACACCGTTAGGGTTACCCAGTTGTCTGGAAGAATCTGGGTTTCCTGGGTGGGCTACCATGGTACTGCATTGTATAAACTTCTAAGATACTTGGATGTAATAGTTTTGAAAGGAGTCCAAATGTTTCCAGTTGTTTCTGTGAACTCTAGTCCGAATGTGTCAGTCGGTAGTTCTCCTGTTCCATCAACAGGAAGCATCTGGTCATTCTTTATGTAATTGTTAGAAAATGCCAGTTGTATTTTTAATGTTTGCTGCTTATATGAAAATAGGCTGGATCTTGGTTAATTTTACTTTGCTTTTACAACCTTTCCCCTCCCAAGCCTTTTAATAGATAAAGCAAATGTGCCATGAGGAATTTAGAAATTTTTTTTTCCTTGTGGTACTGCAGGTTGAACCTAGAGCCTTCACACTGAGCTATGTCCCCAACCTCCCCAGCCGGCCTTTTTTAGTTTTGCTAAGTTGCCTCAGCTGGCCTTTAACGTGGGCCTTTCCTGTCTCAGCCTCCTGTGTAGCTGGAATTACAGCCATGTGTTCCAAACCTCGGCTGCTTCATGTTTTGTGGTGGTTTTTGATGCAGGGTCTCACTATGTAGCCTGGGCTGGCGTCAAACTTGGGCTGCTTCTACCTCCACCTCCTGAGTACTGGAATTGCAGGTGTGCACCACCAGACCTGGCTGCTTAATGATACTTTGAATCATGAATTCATTTTTGTGGGCTGGGGAGATAGCTCAGTGGCATAAGTGCCTGCCTGGCAAGCACAAGATCCTGAGTTCAACCCCCAGTACCAAAAAACAAAGCATTTTTGTGAGTGTGAGACCCTTATCTAGTTCCCCTTTGCAAGTTCCGCTTGGCAGCCTGTAGCCTAAGTGCAGATGAGCTCACTGACTGATGGCTTCTGTCTTTTCTCTCACATGGCTCACGCTGAGAAAGAAACCCAGACAAGATGCTTGACTTGGTTTACTTTTTCTTTTCTTTTTTTGTGGCCCTGGGAATAGAAGCAGAGCCTCCCGTGGTCAGTGTAAGCAAGCAGCTCTGCTACGGAGCTTCAACGCTGCCCAGCCCCTTAAAGTTTTATTTGGAGGCAGCGTTGGGGAACTCGCCCAGGCTGGCTTTGAACGTGCAGTTCCCTTCGTAGCTTCCTGAGTCACAGGGTAACCACAGGTGTGTGGAGTGGGCCTGGCTGATTTCCTTTTAAGTTAACAAACAGGTAGTTGGGCATATTTTTCTGGTCCAGTATGATAATTTTATGCATGTATCAATGTGAAAAGTTCAAATTAAGGTAATGGCATTTCCATTTCAAACGTCTTTTCTTTATATTGGAAATCTTTGAACCCTTCTTGTTCTTTATAACATATATAATACATTATAAACTGCAGTTATCCTGTTGAGGGCAACTTAGTTTTTTAATGAATATTAGTCCGTTGGCCTTAGTTTCGTCAAGTAATTGTGTTTCTGTAGCACAGATGTCTTTGAAGATTTTTCTTTTTGGTGGGATGGAGTGCCCCTTCCCCTGCCCCCATCATACTAAAAGATATTTCTGTGGCCAGATGAAATTAGTACGAGGCCTCTGTGTTGTCAGTGTTGACTCGGTGGTTCAGTTTGCTGGGTCAGTTCACCTTTATTTGGGCTGACTGCATCTTGCTCTTGCCGTGAGTGTAGAGGTGTAGGCCTGGGCTTGAAGTGGTTTCTCCAGTACAGATAAACTCAAGTGGACAGATTCAGATGTAGAAATCTCAAAAGCTTAGCCCTAGTTCTCATACCTTTTTTTTTTTTTTGCAAGAAAAGAAATATTTTCTTTAATTTAACATCATATATATACACTATTTATATATACATTCACATTTATGAGTACATATCTAAATATTCATATATATATGATTCTCGTACCTTTTAATAAGAACTTTATTGTCTTTTAATAAGAACCTTGTGTGTTAGACAGTGTATAAAAAGTCTTGACAATTTTAGCATTAATAGTCAGATTACACTACTATATACTTTTTCTGAAAGCAAAATGATTACGCGCGTCATGTATACTAAGTGTTGCTCCTGCTGCACTTGGGCTGGCTGTTGTGCCAGCGATACTGTATCAGCATCCTATCCTTCAGGGCTTGGTGTGCTGCTCCCTAAACTTGATACTACGTTACAATTTCCGGTAGATTACTCAGAGCAACAGAACAGCAGCAAAAACAGGCAGCAAAGCTTATGTGGGGAAGGGCCTGGGCTCCTTTGTTAAGTTCCCAAGGTCAGAGACACCAGGCTTCACCTCTCCAAACTGAAGAGCACTCCCAGGACCCTTGGCTGTGGGAGAAAGGGAAAGGAGGACATGTTGAAAACTGGGCTGTGTGGCCCAAAGAAGAGAAGCTCCTGTAAGAAGCAGCAGCAACTTAGTTGGAGGTCTGTCAGAAAGGTTGACTCTGACCAGAAAGAGATGGGATCAAAGGATAGAAGTTGGAGGCAGATTTCAAAAGTGTTCTGAGAGAAATTTCCTCTAAATTGCAAAAGTGAAATGGATTAATTTGGGTGGTAGGCTTTTCCCAACATTAATAAGT